GAAGCAAAGCCCAAACCACACCCACTGCCGTGGAGTCCATTCTGACCCACAGCGCCCCTAGAGGACAGAGTGGAACTGCCCCACAGGGTCTCCAAGGCTGTCAATATTCAAGGAAGCAAAGCCCAAACCACACCTACTGCCGTGGAGTCAAGTCCGACTTGGAGTCCAATGGAACTGCCCCAGAGGTTTCCAAAGTGGTCATTAATCTCGAGCGCTTAACTGTTGCACCACCAGGGCTCCTGTAGATAAGAGTAACATGCAATACAGCCTTTGGGAAGGGATGTTGTTGTTGTTGTTATGTGCATCAAGTCGGACCCGACTCACAGCGACCCCTCCTTGGGTTTCCAAGTTGATATCACTACGAAAGTAGATTGCCCAACCTTCCTGGGAGGAGTGGCTGGTGGGTTTGAAGTGCCACCCTTTTGGTTAGCAGTCAAGTGCCTTAGGAACTATGCTTCTCACCTTTGTTCTTAGTGTAATTCATTTAATTGTAAGTTTACATAATTTCATGTTTAGTGACGCCTGTGTTTGACAGCTTGCAGCGTTCCTGGAATCCAACAGCACCAGCTGGCTCAGCACCCACTGGCCTCAGAGGACAGAGAGGCAGTGCATTGGGGAGGGGGCTTGGTGTGGGTCCGGTGGGAAGGGGATGGATTTGGAACTTCCTAGGAGGCGAGATTGGCCGGAGTGGAGATGGCTTGGGTGCAGGGATGAAGCTGGGTGGGGCACGATGAGTGGGACGCCCAGGCAGGAGAGGGCCAACCAGGCAGGTCAGGCAGTGTACTGAGGCCCTGGGGATGGTGAGCACCAGGCAGGGGGTGCCGGCCTGGGCTGGGCCCTTGACTCCACTCGCCTGGAAGGCTGCTGTGTCTCCGGGGCCTGGCCTCCGGAGCAGAGGCTGTGAGCTTGTCTGATCTTGGCCCTAAGCAGAGAAGCACTCCCCTTGGAGGTGCTGGGGGTGCGGGAAGACTCTGTGTGTGGCTGCTGGAGCAATGGGGGACTCTGGGAGGAGACTGAGAGGGGCGGGTGGTGCTGGGGGTGAGAGCTGGGGTTCCCTGGGGGAGCACTGAGGGCACAGGTGGGGCTGGCCAGGGGCACAGGGTCGTTCCACCGTCCCACACTGAGCCCGTGCGTGTGTCCAGCACAAGGGCCCACCCTGCCTTTACAAAAACCTACCCCTGCAGGGGCAATGCTGGGGAGAGAAGAGGTGATGCGGGTAGCAGCCCTGGGAACCCCTTGTGAAAGACAGGCTAAATCCCCCCAGGCCACAGCTGCAATCCCAGCAGGTGCCTCAGTGGAGATCCAGACCAAGTTCTGCCTGGAAGACAGGCTGGCTGCACCGAACTGCGCTGCTGTCGCGCCAGACGGCACCACTTGAAGTAACTGCTCCAGTGCAGTTCCACAGTCTGTGTCTGGGCCAGGTGCTGGTCTCGTGGGCGCTTGCCTTGTGTGAGCTCAGTGGGTCCCACAGGCGTGATCCATGCCTTTCCTGCCTGCGGTTGTAGACATCAGCTGAGGGTGTTGAATGAGGGGTGCGAAGAGGGCGTTCTGGACGCCACCAGGTGAGAATGGACGGGGCCAACTGTGCAACACCTGTGAGATGTCCCTGGTCCCAGAGGTGGGCGTGGGTTGCTCTGACAGCCCTGAGTCACAGCCAGGCCCACCTGTCAGCCTCTTTCACCAGGCCCTGCCCACCAGCTCTGGGGGGTGGCCAAGGCCAGGGCCCTGCTTCCCTGCTCTGCTGGGGGGACACAGATCCCTCTGTGGTGACAACCCCGGTTTTATGCAAGCTCCTGTCCCTTTTAAATCCCTTCTGTCCACATTCATCCATTTGCCTTCTGGGCTCCTGTCCCCACTTTGCAGATGGGAAAACCGAGGCAAGCCCAGGGAAGCCCAAGGTCACATGCGTGTCTAGGGAGGCAGGACTGGGGGGCGAGCCTGGCCTTCTGAGGCACAGCCCTCTCCCCAAGGGGACACGGGACTGGGCACGGGGAGGCGGCGCCGGAGGGATGAGGCCCGTCTTTCCCATGCTGGCCCTGGAGGCAGCTCTGGCATCCCACCTGGAGGAGGCGGCGTCGTGCATCACCACAGGTTTTACCAATTCACATCCTTTGTGCAAACCCATCTAACCTGTGTGCTGGCAGCAGAGGCGGGAGGGGCTGACAGCTGTGGTGGTGGGTCTTAGCTGCAGACAGCTGGGAGCCCCCGGGCTCTCGATGCCCCCCTCACCTCCAGCCAGGGCCTCTCACCTCCCTGAGCCAACAGCCACAGCAGCTGATCCCGGTGAGCCAGACTCAAGGTCCACAGGCAAAGCCAGGAGCACCCCCCTATCTCCGGTGAGATGCTCAGTCTCCCCAGGCCGGGGTTCCACCGAGCAGGGCACTGGGGACAGGGTCGCGGCGACCCCTCCTTGGGTGTCCGAGACGGTATCACTACGGAAGTAGATTGCCCAGGTTCCTTCAGAGGAGTGGCTGGTGGGTTTGAACTGCCAGCCTTCTGGTTAGCAGTCAAGTGCCTTAGGCAGTACGCCCCCAGAGGTCCCTGCAAGGTTTCGGGTGGGCAGATATTTCCAGAGCAACTGAGGGCAGCCAGTGCCAGAGTGGAGCCTGGGGCGGGTAAAGCATGTGCCCTGCACTGTGGCTCGGTCCGTCGGGGCTAGGCCAGTATGAGCACACCTTGATAAGATGGGCAAGGCCCGCGGATGGCAAGCGGGGGTGCAAAGCAGGGGCAGCAGGAGACCAGGGTGGAGAGGTGGCCAAGGCAGCAGGGGAGGGCCTGTGAGGTGCCCTGCGGGGCCCCAGTAGGGCAGCGGCCCTTGGAGGACAGCTTTGAGGGGAGCTTGGGGAACAGTATAGTTGGAGGTGGTGAGGGGTACACAGAGCAGGGCGGGAAGGGGATGGATTTGGAACTTCCTAGGAGGCAGGATTGGCCGGCAGTGGAGATGGCTTGGGTGCAGGGATGCAGCTGGGCGGGGCATGAGCCAGGAGGGTTCCAGGCTTCCAGGGCCAGGACCTGGTGGTGCCCGGGGAAGGGGAGGGGAGGGAGGGGATCGAAGTGCACGCTGGGACAGGCTGCCGTTGCGGGCTTATCTGACACCCCAAAACCCCAACCCACTTGCCCTTCAGGCGACTCTGACTCTCGGCGGCCAGGAGGCCTGTGGCCCAAGGGGTTGGAAGGGCCGACCTTTCAGGGGTCAGTCACCAGGCCGTTCTTCCAAGGTGCCTCAGGGTGGACCTGAACCCCCCCTTTCCGTGAGCAGCTGAGTGAACCAGCATTTACATCACCAGGGGCTCCCCATCTGACATCAGAGATTCCATGCAAAGTCCAAGTGACCAACCCAGAGCCCAGCTCCCTAGTCTCACCATTGTACGGCTGGTCCTGGGCCCAGGGGTGGGGGCGCTCCTGGGGACCCAGTGGGGAGACCGCCCAGGACGGGTGGGGTACAGAGAGAGAAGAGGGCAGAGGGCAGGCCCTGGGGACCTCAGCCCTCAAGGGACCATTCTTTGAAGGCTTCCGATGTCTGTATTAACAGCAGCAGCAGCAGATACTGGGACTCTCAGCATTGGCGTGGCGCTTCTGGATGTCAAGGCACTCTGTGGTGCAGCAGTTAAGGCCTTCAGCCTTAACAAAAGGTCAGTGGTTCGAACCTACCAGGCGCTCCACAGAAGGAAGATGAGACAATCTCCATGAAAACTGACAGCCTTGGAGACTCTGTGGGCAGTTCCACTCTGTCCTCTAGGGGCACTGTGGGTCAGAATGCAATCCAGGCAGTGGGTGTGGTATGGGCTTTGCTTCCGTGAAGACTGACAGCCTTGGAGACCCTGTGGTGCCTTTCCACTCTGTCCTCTAGGGGCGCCGTGGGTCAGAATGGACTCCAGGGCAGTGGGTGTGGTTTCATGTATATCCTGAGGGCAGCCCTGGTGCTGGCTACTGTGACCTTGCTTCCACAGGTGAATACATGTGCTGGAGCAGGAAAAAAAAAACCTCACTGTTGTGGAGGTGCATCCGACCCATAGCAACCCCTCCTTGGGTTTCTGAGGAGTATCTCTATGGAAGTAGATTGCACAACCTTCCTTCCCAGGAGTGGCTGGTGGGTTTGAACCGCCAGCCTTCTGGTTAGCAGTCAGATGCAGTCAGATGCCTTAGGCACTACGCCACCAGAGCTTTCCAGGAGCGGAAACCTGGCTGAATTTTCCCAGGTGATTCCGGCAGAGCTGCTGGTTTGACAGGTGCATCAGGGAAAAGATGGTTGTTGTTATTATTATTAAGGCCCGATGTTGTGGTTGTTGGCAGGACTGGGCCAGAGGAGGCTGTTCTGAAAGCCAGCGGGGTGCAGAGCTGCGGTTCGGCAGTACGCAGGGGCGGGGGCTCTTGGTTGGCTGCTGGTCCTGCCATCACTCTGTGACGCTGAGTGTGATCAGACCTCAGATCCTGCAGGCGTCTTCTCCCCGCTCCATCCCTCTCCAGATGCCGTGGGATGAAGTGGGAGCTCCTGTGTGTCTGGGGATCTTAAACCTCTCACGTGGCTGGGAAGGAAACAGAAGAATGAGGCCCTCCTCTATCTTGAGTCACAAAGCCCCTTTTCTCCGATGGTTTTCATTTCCTGTTTCCTTTTCTACTCTGTGTTCTGGGAGGCAGGCAGGCTGCAGTGGGACATTGACCACTGGTGACAGGCAGCCCTCACCTCTCCGCCCTCCCCACTGCCAGGACCAACCCTTCCCTTGAGCCAGTCCTAGCTTGGCCTTAGCAGCGACTGTCTCCGTGCTTCTGAGTGGCTGGGGCAGCTTGTCACCTCTGCTGGCCTCCCCAGAAGGACCTGGAAGGCCGAGTGAGGTGCAGTGGTGCTGGCCAACCCCTCCAGGTCCCACTCACCCCTCCTCCCTGGCCACCCCTCAGCAGTGTGGGGAGCGGGCTTCCTACATCCCTTTCATTCATTCCCGAGTGGGCGTACTGAGTGCTCGCACACCTGCGGAAGCAGTGGTGGGTAGTGCCGGGTTCCATTCTGAAATGCATCTCGTGCAGCCACCACCGCCTGTCGGTGGAAGCTTGTGTGTCGCCGGAGGCTGGGCAGGTGTCGGCGGTGCTTCTAGAGTGAGACAGAGAAGAGAAACCTGGGGACCTGCCTTGGAAACTCAGCCTTGGAAACGGGCCACGGGGACCACCGGCCGGGCGGTGCTTTGTTCCGTTGGCAGCCGGGCGCTGGGGGGCATGGCCAGCTCCTTGGTGGGTGGCAGACGTAGTGGGCCCCGGGATCCACGGTGGCCGACAGACCCATGGCTCCAGGGCAGCCGACAACCGTGACAGACCCACGGCTCCGTGACGGCCAACAGCTCCACAACAGCCGAGAGCGCTCCCCCTGCTGCCCCCACTGGCCCTGGGCCTTTCTGACGTCAGTGCTTACTCCACCCCTGGTTTGCACAGCTGGCAGTGTGCAGGCATAGATGCCTGGGGACCTCCCTTGACCAGGAGACACCCTCTGCCCCGATTCTCCCCCCAGCGATCCCCGAGGCTTCTCGGAAGGCCCTGCAGTCGCTCGTTGTGCCGGCCAGCTCCTCTGTGCACCCCTGTGTTCACCCCACTTCTGCCTCTTCCCGCTCCCTGTCCCTCATCTGGACTACTTCCCCTCTAAGCCACCTTCCAGTCTCAGGCTCTGCTTCTGGGGGACCCGGCCAAAGCAGAGACATCTGCGAGCATGCAGTAGGCCCCCCCCACAAGCCCCCCAGAGGAAGTGACATTTCAGCTGAGGTCAGAAGTGGGCGGTGACCAAGCAGAAGAAAAGTGGCAGATGCCAAGGTCCTGAGGCAGCTGGGTGTTTGGGAGCAGCTGTGGCAGAGAGCAGGTGAGCAGGGGGTGAGGGGTGGGCGTGGTCTGCAAGGCCTTCTGGGCCGTGCTGAGGGGTTCCAGCTTCACTAGGACAGTGGGGAACCCAGAAGGGTTTGGAACAGTTGACTGTTCTTCATCTAAGAGAGAGGGTTTTCCCTGTCTCCCAGGATAGTGTGAGGAAGTGCGGGGGTCCTCACTTCCTCTTCCTTGGCTAGTTCTCAGGAACAAGAGCCCTTGATGCTGGCTGGGCAAGGGCAGTGAGGAGGGGGCAAGGAGGGCTGCACCGGGGGTGTGGGCTCTCCCCCCACATCCTCCCCCATGTCCACCCCCGTGTCTGCGCTGCCTCGGTTGTCACCCTGGCCCAGCCCCACGGGCCAGGTGAGGACAGGCTGCCTGGCCCAGGGGCATGTCTTCCAGGTCCTGGGCAGGCTGTGGGGTTCCATGGCAGATACAGCCAGTCAGCGACCTGGCCACTGGGAGGCTTACTTTCTGATGGACAGAATCAGGGCAACAGGGACCCCGTGGACAGACCCCAAGCAGCACCAGGCAGCGGTCACCCTGTGGGGAAATGTCACTGCAGGCGGCCACAGCTGGGTGCACCCAGGCCCCTGGCCCCTTTAAGTTAGGAATGCCTGGGGCTCTGAGGGTGGGGACAGCAGGAAGCTGGAGGCCGTTCCAGGAACAGACTGTGCTTTGCCGATCAGGGCTCGTGGCTGAAAGGCTCCCTGGCAGGGCCTGTTGGCACCTCCCTCCCTTCCTGTGTGTGTCTCACACTCGCACGCGCACATCCTCTTGCTTCCTGGCTTCCTACTTTCATCCTCGCATCTGGCCTCACACCTAGTGTTTGGGTCTGTGAAGTCCCGCCCCTTCCTGGCGGCTGCCATTTATAGCTGCCTCCACACTCTCTGGGCCCAGCAGCGTGAGACACAGCCCTTTGTTGCAAATAATTAATTTGGTACCACATTGCATAACATCCTAAAAAGCTTTCCAGGGTGCACTCCTGCGGCCGGACCCTGGGACCACATCAATATTGCATGCCATCAGGCACTGCTGTTTTGTGGTTTCATTAAAAATTTAATTTGTGGTTAGATCTGCAGTGTTCCCTTTAAAAGCACGATGGGAAGCGAGGGGGGGGGACAGGCTCAGAGTGGGGGCGGGCAGATGTGGAGGAGGGGAATCCTGGCCCCAGAAGACGGGCCTTCCCTGGGCCGGCCCCTCTAATTGGCAGCCAGCTGGCTGGGGAGGGCTGGCTCTGACTCCTGCAGTAACTGGACCATTCATAGAAAACATTTCTCCAAACACTTGACTGTTTTTCTTTTCAATCCACACTCCAGGGGGAGGAACCCAGCACCAGGGAGGGCCCGTGCCAGGTAGGGGAGGTGTGACAGAGACCCCCTTCTCTGGCCATCTCCCCAGAAAGGCCCAGAACCAAAGCACGTAGCAGTCAAAACTGAAGCTGCAGCCTGCCCCTGCATTGGGCTGTGTGGCCTTGGGCAAGTTACTTGCCTTCTCTGAGCCCAGCGTCCCACCACCCCATAGGTTGTGGAGATGAGCCCCAGGGAAGTGTGAGTAAGGGGCCTGGCCTGGTTCCAGCTCCGGCACCACTACCCCTGCTGTGGAACAGTAGCCTCTCCTTTGGGATCCAAGGGCTGACAGCTGGACCCTTGCTGGGGGGTGGCTGGCCCTGTCTTTTTATCTAGACCTGTCCGGGGGGAACTTACGACAGTGCCCCCCCAATCCGTGCAGCTTAGAGAGCCCTCCCTGGGGTTTTCTTTTCAAACTGGGAGGAGATGGTTTCTAGACCGGGATCTTGGGGGAGGGTTGCTGGTCTTTCCAGGCAGGGGGTCCCTGTGAGAGCTGGGTGGGGAGTGGGAGCAGGTGCAGAGAGCACAGGGAGAGACATGGTGCTGCCTGGCTCTGTCCTGTGGCTTTGAGGCCAGTGCTTGCGGGGGGGCTCTGTGCATCTGCCACCTACTCCCCTCACCTCCTGGGGCCTGCAGGGAGCACACCGGTCACTCTGGGCAAATGATTTACTGCCGTAGCGCTCACAGCACAGAGGCACCCCTCCCTGTCCCCCCAAACGCTGGAGAGCTGCCTCTCCCCAGGCGAGCTGTGGGTGGAAGAGAGGGTCTGAGAGGTGGAGATGGGCCTACAAAGGCCCAGGCCCTAGCCAAGTCCCCTGACACGCCAACCAGCTTCCTGGGGATGGAGGATGGGGGCAATATTGTCCACACAAGGGTCTGATTAGACCCATGGATTTCATGGAGTGGGCATCAGGACCACCCCAGGGAAGGGGGTGGGAGTTCTGAAAGGGCACGCACAAAGTCCCTTTCAGCTGGGGGTGGCACCATGGAGACAACGCGGCCTTTCCTGGCGCCCAGGAACGGAACAGGACTCAGCCTGGGGTGCTGCTAACACATAGCCTGTCTGCCAGGCATTTCTGGGCACAGACTTGCCCCTGCTGGTCCCTGGTGGGCAGCGTGGAGATGGTCAACTGTCCCCACCCCTGGCCCTGGCTGGTACAGGGCCTGGAACCTCACAGCTTTCCTAGCTATTAGATGATTATTCCTAATGAGACAGTGAGTCAGATGGGCAGGACAGTAGGTCCCCCTCCTCCTACCTGGGCAGGGGAGGTGTCTGCGGGACCAGCAGCCCTCAGTGACAACTCTCACCCCAAGATTGAAATGGGGAAGGAGTGGGGGGCCTGAGAAAGGGGGTCGCAGGTCAGAGCAAACAAGGCTGCTCCCGGCCACAGTGTCCAGACGGCCACAGGGAAGGGACCTCAGAGTGGAGACTCCTGGGAGGCAGCCCCTACCACCCTGCCCCCACAAGGCAGAGGCCAGAGGGTCTCTGGGGTTCGAGGACTTGTGTGGGGCCCCTCGAGAGGTGGGCGGTGGCAGGAGCAGAGCCTCGGTCCTGGGGCCTGAGTCCCGCTTTCCCTCCGTTTGAACCCCCGTTTGCACGCGTTGTCAGCACCTGTTTCTGTCTCTTGCCACCACAGGACCCTGAGTGAAGCAGCCCCCAGTCGCCGATGGCTGTGGGGTCCTGCGACACCTTGGCTTGTGTGTGGGGTCCTGTGAGTGGGTTCTGCCCTGCCCTGTTCTGCGGGGTGTTTGGAGAAACCCTGGCCCCTGAAATGGCTAAGACTCATCTTATTTTTATATATGGAAGGCAGGGTCCCAGAAATGGAAGGAGGGGAGAAATGGGAGAGGGTGAAATTTGGCCTTGGATCCCGGTTCCTCTTCAGGATGGACCCTCCTGGGTCCTTCCCCCCCAACACACGGTGCTGACTTCTGGGTGATCAGCTCATTCCTGGGCTCTGGGAGGGGTGCTGGCCCTCTTCTGGAGTGCACACTCCATGGGGAGAGGCCAGGTAGTGGGCTGGTGGCTTATGGCCGCCGCCTCTCCTTTTGGGGTCTGGCTCCTTCAGCAGAACGCCTGGGCCTGGGAGTGGTGGGCAGCAACCAGGCAGCCTTCTGGGGTCTTCAGTCTGGAGGCAAAAGCCCAGCTGCAGTCAAGTCCAAGGCCAGTGGCCAGTCACCGGCCTCTCTGGATGTCCCCATCTGAAGTACAGTGACAGCAACCTCAGGGTTGCCAGAAAGACAGCAGGAGAGGGGTCCTAGGGCACCTGTCCACATGACAGACCCTCAGCTCACTGGGATGTGCTGTCCAGGAGGGCAGGCCCTGTGCGGCCGGCCACTGCCCACCCACCCTCTGCCCTTCCCTCTCCAGCCACTGGCCCGAGGCCCTCGCCCCTTGCCTCCTCCTGCAGGACAGACACTCCTCTTTACTGTTTTAAAGGGTTCTTGCTGCTGGAAAAGCTCAGGCGTCCCCACAGGGACCATAAATAAAGCAACGGCCTGGCTGTTAGGAGGTCCTGCCTGGTGTTGCAGCCCTGCCGTGCCTGGCATGCTCTGTGGCCACCCTCACCAGCCAGAGCCGGAGGGAGGCCTCTGGGGCCCTGGTGTCTGGGTCAGACCCCTCTTCTCTGGGCCGCAGACAGAGTGGGGGCGGCTATTGGACTTCATGCCAGGGTGGGCGGGCAATGAGCACTGGGCTGTCTCCTCTGGCCTCCCTCCTGCCCCAAGCTGGATGTGGTCATGCAGGTATACAGGTGAGAACCCAGGGCCGAGGAGGCAGTCCAGCTGGGGGCGCCAGGATGGCCCCCATTCCGGCCTGAGCCCCTCGCCACTGCAGCACCCTTGGCAGGTCGCACAAATGCAACCTCGTGGGCAGAGCAGACAGTGACGGTCTGTCCTCATGGGGCGTGGGTACTGGGCAGAGCCCACAGCTCAGTCCTGCCGTGGATTGTCCTTGGAGGGAGTCTGGGGAAAGAGCCTGGGCTACGTGAGCCCCCATTATGCCTGCGAGGTCTCTCCATCTCTTCACACACGCAGCAGACACACCTGGCTGCCCGAGAGTCTGACCCCGCTGCACAAAGACAGGCCTGAGGCTGTAGGGTGCTGGCCACAGACTGGCGTCCGGAATCAGGCTGCATCCTTAGCCCTCCAGCTTGAACCTTCAGGGCTTGGGGGGTCCTCCGGCTGCTGCTAGGCTTTGTGTGACAGCGAGTCCCGCCAGTCACACATCCCATGGTGCCATCTTAAAGATACAGGCACACTGTCTTCATGCACTTAATAATCAAACCAAACCAAATGTACTGCCGTGGAGTTGATTCAACTCAGAGCAACCTTCCCTTGGGTTTCTGAGGCGGTGTCTCTACAGAAGTAGGTTGCCCAACCTTCCTTCTGAGGAGTGGCTGGTGGGTATGAACCGCCAGCCTTCTGGTTAGTAGTCAAGTGCCTTAGGCACTACGCTACCAGAGCTCCTGCGTTAGGCACTATGCAACTTAATAACCAGCTTTTAAAAACCAAAAAATGAATTCTGGCCCATGAAAACCAGCTCAAACTGGAGAGATGTTTCTCAAGGTGGCTTGAATGTGACCTGTGCCCCAAGTTAGGGCGATACTCCGGGGAGTTCTCCGGGGCTGGGCCGGGAGCAGGGAGGGGTTGGTGCAGAGCAGGAGGGGAGAGAGCAAGGTGGCGGCGTGGCTCGTGGAGGCCACCTGGGAGCAGGGTTGGTGAGCGGGGTGCAGGTGGCGGGAAGCCACCCCCAGGCCGCTGTCTTGAGGGAGCTGGGGGCTGTTCAGACCTGAACATGAGACCCAGGCTAAGATGGAGGTGTCCCTGGGTCTGTGGGCCCCCAGGGACAAGAGCAGAGAGGGCAGAAGCCAGAGGGCACAGTCTGCAGGCACAGGCAGGGGACCGCAGGCTGGGACAGCGTCACCCACCCCGGCCAGCCAGGCTCGGGCCTGGGGCTCTGTGTGGGGCACTGCGTCTCCTTTCCCCTTCCCCGCTCCTGCTCGCCGTCCCCCCCCCCCAGTGGAGTGCAGGAGAGGAGGGGCCTCAGGCCGCAGCTGCCTCTGCCCGGGATCCGTGCCCTGGGGGACAGGGTGCAAGCGCTGTTGAGCCCTGCTGACTTCTGACCACAGGCTGGAGCCACTGTGCCCTTGCAACCTTCCCAGGAGGGTTCTGGGGAGGAGAAGCTGGGGGGGGGAAGCAGAGAGGGGGAAGCAAGAGCCGTAGGAAGAAGAGGAGGGGGACAGGCACCTGAGCCGAGTGAGACCCGAGTCTCAGCTGGACCCAGCACGGGCTCTTCCAGGGGAGCTGGCAGCCCTGCACGCGGGATGCTAACTCAGCTGGACCAGGGATCCAGTTAAACAGCTCACAGGCAGCACGGGCCTGGCACCAGAGAAGAAGTCTGGCCACCCATCTGTCTCCTTCCCATCACCACCTGACCTGCAGTGTGGAGGGGCCAGGTACTCGGTCAGAGCCGTTCGCCCCCCAGAGCTGGGCGACCGCATTCGCCGTGGTCCTGCCCAAGCATCTTCCCTGAGCCTGCAGCACCCGCAGACGAGGGGGTCGCTGGGTTCCCCTTTCACAGACGGGAACACTGAGGCCAAGAGTAGGTACGAGACTGGCCCCCATCCCAAAGCTGCTGGAGGTGGACCCAGGCCTCACACTCGGATCCTCCGGCCCGAACATCTGTGTTCACGCCACAGCCCAGTGCTGTGCGGTGACCAGCTGTGGGGCATCTTTGCATGGGGGAGGGTGGGGGGCAGAGGGCAGGCTGCTGGGCCCCCACCCGCCCTGCCCTCCCAGGAGTGTTCTTGTTTGGGCTCTGACAGCTTCCAGCCTGTTTTCCAGCCCTTGTCAGCAGGAGGCTGCCGGGGCAGGTATCTCTGTTCCAGGGGTCTGATGTCAGGATGCCCGAGGTACAGACCGGAAACGGTCATCTTGTGGGATTCCTACATCCCAAGTCCGTCCCGTAAGGGAGCCTCGGGAGAACGGATACAGGCGGGTGGCTGTGCTTACTAATCTAGCCTGTGGCTCCACCGATCCTGCAGCCAGTTACCCGAGCGAGCGGGCCAGCAAGCGGGGAGGTGTGATGGGACCAGGCTGGTGACATCAGCTGCCACTGCCCCTGCTCCTGCCCGGAATTCCCTGCCGGCCCCCAGGCCTGGTCTCTGATTTCAGATACGCCTCCGCTCAGGTCTGCGGCTCCGGCATGCAGACAGGCACGGAGCCTGCTCCGAGGCAGCATGAATAATAGAACTAAAATCATCTCTAGTTAAAAATAGATACTCTCCCTAATAAATATTTTACACACCGACTTCAGCAGACACAGATCCCCTGACTGAGGGCTGACAGCAAGCCCTGGTATTAAGCCCAAAGCGCAGGGGCCAGGCCCGTCCCAGCCCACGCGCTCCTGTGGCCATGCCGCTGCCTCAAACCTGCCCACTCTGCGGTGACGTCTGATGCAAACAGCACATGCTGGACGGGTGGGCAGAGCCAGGAACAGCGGGGAGCCTGGCATGGTTAGTCACCGGTGAATTTTACTGGGCAGATCAATTATAAAATGCCCCTTGGTTAGTGAAGCTCAGAGTTCAGGAAAGCCAGAGGCAGCAGCCCGGTCACCTGGTCACCTGAACAGGCCGTGGGGAGGGAGGGAGAGCTCAGCCCGGGGAGGCGGAAGGAGCGGAGTTTGAAGCGCCGGCCCGTTTCCGAAAACACTGCTGATGGACCGCGGCCTTGAAGGTTTGCATCAGTGACAACAAGCCACGCTCCATATACAGCAGCGGCTCTGCGATCGGCAGAAGCACTTTGCAGCCTCATCCACCCCCGACTCCGCCTCCAGCTTCTCCTGGGAGATGAGCAGGCAGGGAAGGTGAGGGGCTGCTCAACACACAGACCATTTCAAAGTGACCCCCACTCCACAGGCCCAAGGGAAAAGGGTGCAAGTGTCCTACACAAGAGGCTAGGAAACTGGGCAGCAGAGGGCAGAGTGTCTGGAGGCCAGGACAGGTGAACCAGACAGGACTCAGGGACACATGTCTCTGTGTTGGTCCTTCTGTCTGGAACAACAGTCTCCCACAATGCATCCGATCTGCCTGGTGGACCCACACAGTTCCCCTGGACTGAGAGCAGAGGCTCTCCCCTGTGGGGCCCGCTTGCCCCACAGACAGACCACTCTCCCTTGTGTTCACTGTACATTGAACACATGTCAATTCAGTGCCAAGTGCCCTGGGTGACATGGAGGATTCCAAGTCTGTCTGCCTACCAGAGAATGAGCTCCTTGAGCACTTGGCATAGTTAGAGCTTGGCACATGGTAGGTGTTATTACATGGATGGATGGATGGATGGAGCAATGAGTAGACAGATGGATGCATGTATGTGTGCGTGGATTGATGACTGCATGGATGCATGCATGTGTGCACGGATGGATGACTGGATGGACGGATGCCTAGATGGATGGATGGATGACTGCATGGATGGATGCACACATAGATGAATGGTTGCATGAGTGCATGCATACCTGTATGGATTGATGGATGATAGATGCCTCAATGAATGGATGAATGCATAGATGGATGAATTCATATAGGATGGATGCATGCATGGATAGATGGGCAGATGGACAGACGGAAAAAGGGAAACAAAAAGAGAACAAAAATGGGAGCCCAGTGGCCTCCATTCTTTCAGGGTTGATGGTGTAGATGGCATGTACTTTAGTCCTTCTCTTTTCCTGCTGCCTTCTATCGGCTGCTTCCCAGCTGCTGAGTGACTGATGCCAGAACGTTAGGGGAGCAGGGGACAGAGAGAGGATGAACCCAGACCTGCTGACGATGGGATGACGAGAGTGCAAGGACCAGACCCTCTCCCACGCTGCCCACCTTGAAAGTGTGGGAGGACTGAATGCCACACAACTGCCAGTGAGCCAGGGGCAGCCCAGGACGCTGTGCTCTTTCCTGCTGCCCTTCAAAGCTGGGTGCCCAGGACACTGTGCTCTTTCCTGCTGCCCTTCAAAGCTGGGTGCCCAGGACACTGTGCTCTTTCCTGCTGCCCTTCAAAGCTGGGTGCTCAAACATCAACCCAAACAAGTTGGTTTTCTCGTTGAGTGTCTGCTCAGCACCCACTCAGGCTCCAGCAGGCTGGTCATACGGGGACTGCAGAAGGCGACGAACAAGAAAACCGAAAAACAAGCAAACGAACAAAAACTCACAGCCATAAAGTTGATTCCAACTCATAGCAACTCCCACCAGGTTTCTGAGGCTGTGAATCTTTACAGAAGAAGGTTGTCCCATCTTCTTTCCATGGAGCGGCTGGTGGGTTTGAACCGCTGACCTTCTGGTTAGCAGCCAAAATGCCTTTCCACTGTACCACCAGAATGCAAATAAAAGAAGATGTTTAATTATTTGAACAGGCAGAGTTTATGAAACATATGCCACCAGACCTACACTTGTTCCAGGTTTTTTATTTTGGAGGACATAAGAGAACTAGGAAATGTTTTCATTTCTCTGAGATCCAGCAAACTGTTAAAATATTAAATATTGCTTAATAATTGATCACAACTAATCTCTATGGAGCCGATCACCCATTTGGCAGGATCTCTTTAAACTTTTAGGGCCTTTTAGCCACCCCGCCGCCCCCGTGGCTGCATAACCTTTCTCTTGTCTGTTTCATTCAGAGCTCAGTAGACATTTGGCCTCTTGTGGTTTTATGATGTCACAATGCCTCTCTGGAGCTGGGGGATTGCTGAATGGGGCTGGAAGCAGAGAAAGGAAAGTCTAGGGACACTGTCTGAAGGAGGGAGTGCCCGAAGACAGGAAGCACGGCAGCGGCGGATAATGGCTCTGTGGTTTCCAAGACTCAGGACTTGAAGACGAGAGAAAGGCCATTCTTCAGAGCCACTCCAGTCATCGGTGACTCAAGTGTTTTCTGTCAGAGTGACAATCATGCCCGCCTTCTGTGTTTCCTGGGAAATTAAAACCATTGAGCAAAAAGTTGAGAAGGTGGGCTCAGGCGTCAGACTGCCCAGACCCATTCCAACCCCTGCAGAGTTTAATGTGTGACCTTTCTTGTTGTATATTTTGTAATTGAGGTGAAATTCACAGAACATAAAATTAACATTTTGAAATGTACAATTCAGCGGTATGTTGTATATTCACCACGTTGTGCGACTGTTGATTCCATCTAGTTCCAAAACATTATCACCCCCCAAAAAACTCATGCCCCTTAAGTAATAACTCCTGCCCGCCCTCCTCCAGCCCCTGGTAACTGCTGATGCACTTAGGTGTCTCTGCGTTGGCCGGTTCTGGGTATTCCATTGAAGTGGCATCAGACAGCATTGGTCCTCCTGTGAGTGGCTTCTTGCACTCGGCGCTGAGTTTCCGAGGTTCACCCACGTGGTGCTGTGTATGAGCATTTCATGCCTCTTTAGGGCTGAGTAATGCTCCATTGTACGGATGGGCCGCGTTATGTTTTTCCATCATCTGTTGATGGACGTTTGGGGTGTTTCCAGTTTCTGGCTGTTGTGGACAGCGATGCTGTTAACACTGGCATGGAGACTGCAGTTGGAGCTCCTGGTTCCGTTTCTTCTGGTAAACATGGAGTGGAAGTGCTGGGTCATGGGGCAGCTCCATGTTTAACTTTCGACTGTTTTCCACAGTGGCTGCACTGTTTTAGAACCCTGATTCTGCATCGTCACCAGGACCTGTTA